TACAGTTGTTCTTGCCATGTTACGAATAACCATCTTACGCAGCTGTGTTCTCTGATTTCGTCTCAGCGTAACAAGTATCTAATGGGGTCAGTATTAGGACTTACGGTCAACGGGCCCTACTACTTAGCCTTGGTCTACGGCGACAATTTAGTTGGATATTCATCATTGCTGACGTTCACCAACCTATATTAAGAGCGGGTTTCCTGACACATCTCAACTTGTTAGAGAATCTACGCACCTTCCTTTTCTGACAACACAGTGTGTATAGCATCAGTCTGCTCCAGAACCCTTTTGCCACAGAGCTCCATACCACAGACTCCTTCATAGATTTCCAGATCTATAGAAATCAAATTTTCATCAGCCGAATACCACACATTCTGTATGTCACCACATCACCACCAGCAGTACTCCAGTTTTCTCCCGTCCGCGACGATTACATGCCGAAAAATTGAAAATAGCTAAGGATGTGTTTCAACACATGCTCCAATTAGGCTTAAATCGACCATCTCAAATCATGTAGGCATCACCGCTGCATATGGTAGCAAAAAAGACAGCATCCGATTGGAGACCCTTTGGCGACTACAGAGCACTTAACCGCGTCACCATTCTTGATAGGTACCCCATTTCACACATTCAGGATTTTTCTTCTCATCTTCTAGGATGTACTACTTTTTCACACATTGACGTCATGCGCGCTTATCAACACATCCCTATTCATCCTGATAATATTCATACGACATCTATCACAACTCCATTCAGTTTGCACGAATTTTTACACATGCCATTTGGTGTACGTACCGCTGCACAAACTTTTTGACGCTTTATTGATCAGGCATCTTCACCCCTTCCATTTGTCTTTTGCTTACCTTGATGATATTTTGGTTGCAAGTGCTAACGAAAACGAACATCTAGAAAGCTTACTCACACGTATCACCAAGTACGGTGTGGATATCATTAGCAACCAGTGTGTCCTTAGTTCAGCTTCTTTGAACTTTCTTGGTCACACCATTGATAGCACTGGCATTTCGCCAACTGCAGAGAAACTTGATGTCACAAGAAACTTTCCCACACCCACTTTAGTGAAACAGTTGAAGTATTTCTTAGGCATGCTTAGCTTCTACCGCCGTTTCATTCCATACGCCGCATATGCCTTATCTCCACTCACACGCTTGTTAATTAGTGATCCGAAGCAATTCCATATCACTAACGTCACTGCACGAGCTTTCGGAGACGTCAAATATTCTCCGGAAAATACCATGATGCTTTTCTGCCTGCAACCCGATGGTCAGGTGTCATTAAATGTTCATGCATCAACTACTGCTGTCGGAGCTGTCTTGCAACAAATCGTCGATAACGTTCAATAACCACTTGGATCCTTTCCCTATAGGCTCACGCCAACCGCAGCTCTATATAGTACATTCGCTTGTGAGTTGCCATATATAATCAAGTATTCGCCACATACGACATCTGGCAGGAAAACAATTCGTTGTACTTACCGATCCCACGTCTTTGGCGTTCACTCTACAGGCTAAGCCAGACAAGTACTCACTTCGTGAAGTACGTCAACTGGGCTTTGTTTCACAGTAGACCAGTGATATCCGCCATATTCCTGGACGAGATAGCATTGCCGTTGATGCACTGTTGCGCCTGCAAGTTGATTTGGTAAACGCGTCTCCCATAGATCTGGAACGCATGGCTCAAGTACAATAGGACTTCAGTCGCAAGTGAATGACAAACAGCTTTCGCGGGACATCCAGTCAGTGCCTCTGCGTAACCATGACGGCCCCCGAAGTATGTATGAAGTCGTCATTTGAATAGAGACTGACTTCTGACCATCTTTATGTACATTGACCACTTCGGTGACCCAGGAAACGTATCTTTGTCATCACACTATCATTGAAAGGCTCTTTAGTCAATTTGAACAGTACATCACTTCACAAAAACCTTGTGGTTTGTTGATTAATGATAACCCCCTGGATACGTCGGCCGCCCCACTTCCCTATCAATCACAAAGCTATGGCTTAAGATTCCGGATCCCATGTTCGTATGCAGCACAATAGTTGAGGTGTTTTCCACCTGCAGCTAGCGTGTATACCGATACTGTATGTAGCTTTTCACTCAGTACTCCCGTAGTCCTTCTGTGTTTTCCCCCTAATATCTGGTGAGAAATGCGTCTACCATTTTCTTTCATCTTTTCATCGTATTAATTAAGATGCTAGTACAAATTACCTGTCGCAATTCACTTTTAATTCGCTTCCCATTCGCTTTCAGAAACAAAACTGTGTCAATCAAAGAAGCAATTGAATTCGGCACTGAAGGGCCTCCATCCGTCATTCAATGGTTTCATTATCCACTTTGTGCCTTTCGCGGAATAGCGGATTATGTGAAAGAAAACGGTTTGGTACTTTTTGTTTTTGCGCTTCTCATCTTCGCCGCTCACTAGGTACTCCGATAATTAGACGTTTTTGACACTCATAGTACTTATGGAATAGAAAAGTGGAGCCTACTCTTCTACTTTACCCGTTAATCGTCTACACCTAAGTGTTCCACTTAATTATTGAGTGGTAAGAACTCGTCAGATGGTTGTGAATCAACGCTATCTGGAACACCAGAGTATCGTTCCAACTCATTCGATTCACGGATCCAAGAATACATAACTAATTGGTATTCCAAGTGGCATTTAGTGTACCCGCTGTGTGGTTGGATAGCGACTCGCAATCCCTATTCAGACCTCGATCCTCTTTGAAGTAGACCTCGGTCATTACGATCACAAGGACCGTATCACGGTTGGGAGAAGCAACACCGAATCACCAACTAATTGGGGTATCTTCTCGACAACGCGACGCACACCAGAATAGGCATGATCATAGTAATACCAACATGAGTGATCGGCAAATGTACAATAATGTTGCAAAGTTGACCAGTAGCATATTGGATCTATATGGTGTGTATATGTATGTACGTCTGTATGAATGACGTGTGCCCCATGCTGAGGCTGATGTTGCATTCTTGATGCTTCTTCACCGCAGTTGGGCTAAACCAACTTACACTTAAACTAGGTCTCTTTAAGCTGCATAAATTTCATTCCAGTTTATTTGGTTAGTTTTGTCTATCTGAATAGTCTTCTATTTGCTGGCCCCGTCGCTTACGCTAACTGCGCTTATCTTCGGTAATTTTGTTGCGTTTGTAGCATTTTTGAGTAACTTGTGGACATTTTTTCCTTATCGCGGATTCATTGCTAGCCAACTTACTTCATATGCTAATTTAGCGAAGAGTTATGCCACCGTATCTATATGCATTATTGGATTTATTTTATTTTATTTGGTCGTTTCAAGTGATTGGCTGTTGCGTGATATCCCAGGTGTGGCTGCGCTTGATGTGCATGTTGACAAGGTGCCTACCTGTCTATTACCCACTACCTCGTCCATACTGGCTCCAGAAGACAGTTGGTCGTTGCTGGAGGGGACGGGGTGCACGGTCGTTGTGGCTGTGCTAGGCTCGAAGAGTGGTTCCATGCACTCAGTGTGGAGCGTACTACGGTCCAGCCACCGCCTTGTGTGCGCTTGATTCCCCAAATACAGTGTGCTTGTGTTTGCCTGTGAAGGAGTGTGGGCCGGCTCCGTTGATGAAACGTGGCTCCCATCCACATGCCTCCTGGTCTTATTCCTTCGGGTTTACACTGGATATGGGGTGTGTGGTTGGAGCTGTGGGTGGTGCAGCGCAAGCCACCCATGGTCCCTCTGTAGGCGCAGGCGTCCTGTGGCTGACCACAGTGACAGGCAAATCCGAAACCGGATGCCGCCAACCATGAATGACGTGCCCCATGCTGTGGCTGAGGTTGCATTCATGATGCTTCTTCACCGCAGTTGGGCTAAACCAAATTACACTTAAACTTTGCCTTTCTTGCGCTGGATAACTTTCATTCCACATTATTTACTCTGTTCTGCCTACCTGAATAATCTTCTATTAACTTGCACACGTTGCTTGTGCTAATTGTGGTTCTCGTCGTTGACTTAATCGCGTTTGTGGCATTTTTTGAATTACTTGTGGACATTTTGTAATTATTGCGGATTCGTTGCTAACCAACTTGCTTCATATGCTAATTTAGCGAGGAGTTATGTCGGCATAGCCGTATGCTTTAATAGAAATATTTTATTTGATAATGTTATTTCAAGTGATTGGCGGTTGCTTGATATCCCGGTGTGGCCGCGCTTCATATGCATGTTGTCAAGGTGCCTACCCGTCTATTACCCACTACCTCGTCCATACTATCTCCAGGTGACAGTTGGTCCTTGCTGGAGGGGACTGGGTGCACGGTCCTTGTGGCCGTGTTAGATTCGAAGAGTGCTTCTATGCACTCAGTGTGCAGCGGGCTACGGTCCAGCCACCGCCTTGTGTGCGCTTGATTCCCAAATACAGCGTGCTTGTGTTTGCCTGTGAAGGAGTGTGGGCCGGCTCCGTTGATGAAACGTGGCTCCCATCCACATGCCTCCCGGTCTTATTCCTTCGGGTTTACACTGGATATGGGGTGTGTGTGGATGGAGCTGTGGGTGGTGCAGCGCAAGCCACCCATGGTCTCTCTGTAGGCGCAGGCGTCCCGTGGCTGACCACAGTGACAGGCAAATCTGCAACCGGATGCCGCCAACCATGAATGTCTGTTGGTTGAATCTGTAAACGTGACGCCGTTGTTGTGATTACGTTCGGTTGGGTCGTCTGCTTGTAAAGGGTCGAAAAAGAATTTTATTACTGGATGACTGGCCTCCGTGGAGTGAGTCGAATCATGTGAATGCGCAAGAGGAATTGACTATTTAGATGCGAGTCACATCCGCCACGTTGCAGTATGGTTAAACAGACATTTGTGGCTTTTATAGGGAAAACGTTTGCCAAGCAAAAACCCACCACGTCTTGGAACACTGCCGCCAAGCCTTTCACTGGAACGAGACTAACCCGAACCACCTAGTTGGCACTACGAGGAGGTTGTTCGGCGAGGCAACAATAGAATGGGATGGTGCCCAAGAAAGGTAGATGACCAATTCGTTCCTTGTCTTATTTGTTCGAGCGCTGGGCTGAATGCTTTGGAGAACAATACTGCTGATCCGGTGGGTCCATATTGTTAATCTACTTACTACAACCCATCTTGGATATCAACACAGCAACACCACCGATAAGATTCGACACGGTCCGTTACCGTTGTTGCATCGGAACTTGGCTCCGATCCAACACCATCCCTGTTAAAAGATGGCGATTCTCCGGTAACTGTTTTGGTCACTTTACACCACATTTGACGCAGCAGTGCTTTGCCCACTCATTGGAAGTCGTCAACCCCGTAGCCGAGGATAACGAGCTTGTCTTGTAATCTGACGGCGCGGGTTCCAGCCATTGTGGTAGTAGGGTGACCCTCGTAGTATCCTTAGCCCACTTGTGCTCGGTGGTGGTTGCGCGCTAACGAAGCGTCGGTACTGCGTACCGGCGTACTCCTGATGCCTCATCTTTCAAAAGAACCAAAAGATGTTTTATGAAGGTTGCAGTACTATCAACTTCTCCTCGGTTGTCTCCAAATTGCTCAATCTTCTGTTATGTTTGTCATCTGTGATCCATGTACCGAGCTGCGGTGGATCCAGTTGCCATGATACGTCGCCCGACTAATAACAATAATATTCCAAGGTAAATGGATAACAAATAAAATTGCCGGATGTATTAGCTATACATCAGAAGTTACCGAAATAATCTATAGGCATTAGTAACTACTTGACCGCGTCATTACCGTCAAGTTGCTGTGGCTGATCCTGGAAAACAACGACAGCCAACTCAACTCAAACTTTCGGCTAGTTCTTTTATGCTCATTTGCCATGTCACTAACTGTCCACTAGTTGATGCCAAGCTTGTCGGAGAATTGGGAATCAGTACATATCGTGGCACATCATACGGGGCACATGACCGAGCTGACGAAGGCGATTCCAGTTCAACTGGCACTCTACATTGGAACACCGGAAGATCTGTTGCCGAAAACAACATGGCGAACTTCTGAATGAGCACATTCTAGTCCCTCACCAGATAAGAACAATACTGCGAAAGAATCGATGGTCAAATATCATCAGTTTTGCTTACTCACGTGTATCACACAACAGGCGTTCACTGATCTTCATTGAATCAGTGGATTTCAGGAACGAGGTGCATTGGCCACATTATGCCCTTCTCCAACTGTTTCAACATCACACTCGCAGGTTGTTTTCTATTCAGCCGACTGCACTTGCTTTCGACGATACATAGCTTTGCATAGAATATCTTAGAAGTTCCCTTCTATGGTAGCCTCTGCTATGCGACTTGGGATTCCTGTATGGGTTATTGGGAACTGTCTCCTGAGTTTGCCAAAGCAGATGAATTGCATCTTCACTGTGCTGTCTGTCCCTTTCTGTTTGAGTTCGCGTCCAGAACGATTATGAACAACTATTTCTCTCCACCACTTTTCCTTCTATTGTACCAGGGACTTCGATCATTTAGATTGTCTTTGGATTTGACATGTTTGCTACGCCGGCGTGGCTGTATGGACTGAAACATGCCGCTGAACTCATTTGCAAAGTGTTTTTACCCTCTTCGTTACGCAACTAGTTCTAGCTCTGCTATCAAGAACTCTGTTGACTTAGCTGCTTCATCTCTGGGAGTCGCATCATCGATGTTTACTGGATGCGTTGCTTAACCTCGTGCACCTTTAAAGACTTCATTTACTTGGGAGAACCACGAGATTCAAGCTTTTGGGATAGCAAAGAGTTTGCAGCGCTACAATACGTCTGGTACCTGCAAACTATCGCTCGTATCCACTGCGAGTACCGAATGACTACTGTTGAAGTTCATCATTTGGTATTTGATGACAGACCTCACAACCAATCCTTTTTCATTTATCTCTATCCACTATCGTTTATTATCATTGAAGGTTGAAGTTTGCAGTACCCGCTTTTTGCCTCGGATTGCGCCAAGCAATCTCAATTGTGGTCTCGCTTGAGTTTGCAATCAGCCTCTGTAATCCCGATTGCTGGAACCATATCCGAAACGGAGGGTTCCGGTGTTGCTCTCCCGAGCAATACCGCAATCCTCCGTTTATTATTATTGTTATTTGCATTATTATTTCGGAAGCACAAGTGCGGGAAACCACACATATGTGTTCACCTTATCCGTGCTCATTGAATTGACATGTACCTTTACAATTCGCTTGTCGCGGCTTTCTGAGGCAATATTCAGGGCACTCTAAGATCTATCTTCATTCCGATGCAATGGGATACGCCAGACGTATATCCAACAGGTCACACCTTTCGCTCTGGCACATCGCCCACGTCGAGCACACTACACTTCACCAGCTATGCTCGTGCTCCGCAATTGTGACACTTAACTATCGTAAACTTTTTTTGACACCAACGGTTTGTTTCCAAACTTTTCAGAACTGGCAACCCCCAAACATCGTATTGCTTGTCGGTGGGACCCGATTTGGTGGGTTGTGGCCCGCTGCTGGTCTATCAAGCAGCAGCGCCTTGGTGGTGGCCTCCGCCATCGCAGTGATGCACGCATCTGGGCTGCAAATTGATCGAGTGAGTTGGTGTTAGACCACGAATCACCTATGGCTGATGGTGTTTCCAACGCATAATATAATATTTAACATCTTTTTTGTAGTGTACTTTGTAGTGTAATTTTTTACTCTCTTATCTTTTTGTATTGCGGCACATTAGTTGAGGTGTGTTTCCCACACTTAGGCAACGTGTACTGATGATGATGCTGCTGCTGCTGATGATGATGATGATGGTGTTTTCCGCTACAGGATCCTTTTGTCAAGTTCTTCACTGGTTTTCGACTGCTCCGGACAGATCAGCACTACTTTGCTGATACATTTAGACATCGCTGAGGAATTTACCACCTGCTTGCAAACATTGGGGCATTCTGTTGACCTAAGGAATTTTAACCCTTTGTAATCGCTGCCAAAATTGGTGTGTTTCACTGGAATGCTGCCTGGTAAAAATTTGCTTGGCCTGGATTATGCAGAAAAAACCGTCTTGTTGTTCGACAACCGCTAGATGGCCCAGTTGATCCTGGGTAAACTCTAGGATGGTCCTACCATTTGTAATGCGCTTCGGATCTTCAATACCAACACTTGATGACTTCTTGACCATAGAAGACGAGGAACTGGAAGTAGTTGACTAATTCAACCTTCTTGGTTGCAGCGTTAGCGGCGACGAGCTTGTGGCTGCTTAGGTTAGTTTGTGTATTGTAAAAGCTGGAACCGCTCTCTTGAACTGTCGCATCAAGACGGGTTTTCTCTCGGTCTAAAAAGCCGTGTGTACAAGACCACATTGAGGGTTGTCTCACTCTGTGCAGTGAAAATTGACCTCTTGTCTATGGATCTGGAGCGTCTTCTAGTCTTTGTTCATCGTTATCGGCGAAGCATTGCTGATGTTAAATGGAATCAGCTTGTCTACAACGATGATGTGCGTAGGCGAGTATTAAGTACTGAAAATTGTGCTAATCCCGTCGGAAAACGAATCACAGTTAATATGTTGCGTTGAATTGGACACAGGCCATGTATGCCCGATCACCACTTACCAAAGATGGCTTTGTTTTGTTTGTTAAATGTTAACTGACGCAAACCCGAAGTGAGCATAAGTTAACTTGGTAACAGGAAATAAAGTCATTGGCGACTAAGTTGGATGGTGTTGGCCGTCTGGCTTTTCAGGCTAAAGTCTTCGCGGCCTACCTTATGCTTGGCTCGACACTCTACCGAACACGGCGCGCGATCGGCACTGGTGACACGTCTGCTGTCGTTTCCCAGTCGGACTGCCTGTTTAAATTGTGTCTACTGCTTATTTATCTGCGGAATAGTGGCTTATTATGACGCGGATTAGTGAAAGTCGATAGGAAGCTGTCTCGCTGATACCGCCTTATCTTCACATTATAGCCGACTGCTTATAACGGTATATTGTTGACAAGGTGTAGTCACCTTGACGCTAAACATAGGGTATTTAGGTTTTACACTAAGTCCACCTTCTTCCTCCCTTATTATTCCCTCATTATATAGGTTATTCTTATTGTGTTACAGCGAAACATTAATTCAGGTTACTCGTATAATGCTGTTGTTGATAATTGATGTTGGGGAACTATGTGTCGATTTCCTCTCATTGATACTGATCCACGGTACGTGATTAGGTGGCGGTAGGCAGACCTTCTTTGCAATTATGGAGAATATTTGTATCTCGCGCTGCGAATGAGGGCATTCGGCTGTTCTCCGAGTCGCAGATGTTTCATTGCCAGACCAGGAGACATCATCAGTGCGGATTTTGGAAGTACTTCATAATTCAAGTAATTATCGTTTGCTTACTGCTTTGTCTGGATGCAGTGGATTTACGTGGATTGGCCAAATAGTCGACTTTGTCCCCTTCCCCATTGATCCTTACTTTGTCACTTTAATTCGAAACAAACTGTTGTTTCACCAGTGATGCTACATTGGTAGTCTCTAGCTCCCAATACCTATTGACTGAGTTCTGGTCGGAGTGCCAGGCTTCCATGGACTCACGCCTTTTCCGGCCTCTTGCCCCTCCTATTATCCTGGCACTCCCACTTGCAAGTTCATAGTTTTCTTCCTCCATATGCACCGACATTAGTGAGTTCTGGTCATGTCGGCGGATGACCAGGTTATGTTCATTTAGTCTCTAGCTAAGGTACTTTACTGTCTGTTCCACACAGCGTTTGTAGGGGATTTCGCAGATCTCATCGCTTGTTTCTCGATTGCTCAGTCGGTGCTTAGCACTAAAGGGTTTGCTCCGAATCGTTTCTGTTGATTCGTGAGCAATTTTGGTCCCGATTGGCAAAATATCCAGCCCGGAAAACAACCGAATACCCTAAAACGGCTTTGTTGCTACTTGTTAGCGTTACATATATCATTCTTCAGTATAAGACTCACCTATTAAAACGCTCCTTATCTTTGTAATGTGCTGCTAATGCTTTCAAACATCTGACCTACCATTAATCTTCATTCGTACAGCTCGCTTTGGCTGACCTGTGTGCTCGTTGCGAACGATACATCGGAATACAAGGTGGTGGCATGGACCAAGCGGCAAGTTTGCTGGGAACGGAAGGCTGTGTGAGTCCTCGGTTCATTTTCACTGTGTCGAATGCTCAGCTTGGTGTGCCACTGTTCCATCGGGCACACTCCCCCCCACTTGTTATGTGAGTACGCAGTTACTCACTTGGTGGAGAGTTGTTTCCGCGTTGCTCGTTCCAAACACACACTGCATTGCACTCCACGATCGGTTTCGTACCGATTTAGCTGGACTCATCCGGTGGAGAGGTAGCCTGATTTGGGAGTGGAACCCGTCACATATAGTAGTTGACGGATTACGTTTTGATCAACAGATCATTGGGCTCCGCGTGTTGGGATCCAAGCACCCGGCAGGTACCTCAATATTCGACAAGCATCACGTTCTTCGCCGTCCGTTTTCTGCTTATGTGCTGTCACTCTGCACATGACGTGTCATGCTGCACCTCTTGTGCGTTATTTGGCCTGATTGATCGCATTGCTTGTTGTAGCGTTGTATATCGTTGTGTGACATGCTATGGTAGTTACTTTCCACCATTTTATCTTTTGTGATTCTCGACGTCTTTCTTTCTTCTGTGGGAACTTATCCACCGCGACAGATGGGATGGATAAAGGCTGTCTTATGGACTCTTTCCTCTGTGCTTTTCTAGCTCGAACTAGCCGTCGTGTATTTCTCTTTCATACACTTTATTTGAATTGGTCTTTATTGTCAGAAAACTAATTGTAGTCCTGTCCAGCTTGTCTCGGACTCACCTTTGTATTCGTTTCCTTAAATGGGACTATGCGTCTTTCCACTAGCTGCGCGAAATCTAGCTCAACCGACCTCAGTTATGCTAAATTATCCCACCGGCTGCCTTCACGCTTGCACACGAACGGCTAGAGGTGTTCTTTTATGCAATCTTAGTTCTCTACATCACTTATGCTGTTGACGAAGTGTGCCTTGCTCGTGTAGGCAATGTTCGTGTGAATATTCAACAGTGGGACATCGATTTGTCTGTCAGTCAAAGCAAGATGGGTATCACTGCGATGTAATGGTTCGTTGTTAGATGAACAACCGACGACGCTAAGTGGCCACTATGTTCCTTCCTTCGGTAGCTACAAAGCATTAGTCACATCTATATAGTGCAGCGATCACTCCGGGAGTGCTACCGATGTTCACCAGTTAACAAGCCGCGTTGTAGCGTTATGGGATTATCTACCGCCATATCCTCCTCAAAATCAGTTCATTCTTTCAACTATAATTCATGCGTCCAAATACAGTGTTTTCTACTTACCCTAGTTTCTGTTGATATATTAGTAAAAGGGAGTAGTAGTGAGAGTTGAATGGTTTAGATAGAAATTCATCACATCTAGACTCCGTCTGGTAGCCATCACACGCCCGGAAATCAATAGCTAGTAACTCAGTCACCATAGTCGTTACAGTTCCCGTAGCTCAGTGCGCTCGACCACAGAGTGACAACAGTCGGGTTTCAGCTTCGAGTCCCACAGGGGTCAGATAGAGTGCGCACTGCTGACGATTCTCGTACGTATGAGACAGCTGTGCAATGCTTTTCTGGGCGTGTGATTGTTCTCTGAATGAGTCTAGATGTGGTAAATTTCTACCTATAATAGTAAAAGTGATGACAATCAACAGGTGAGTAAGCGACGTATTGCGCCAACTTTCCAATGCATAAAGGTCGAGCTGTTTTTTGCTTGAAAAGAACTCATTTTATATCATCGGCAAAATGCCAAATTGTGTATGTGTTTCTCTAAGTCGAGGATGTCATTCACGTATCTCAGAAAGATCAGTAGACCAAGTACACTGTATTGTATAAGCCTGCTGCTAACAGACTTCAGCTATGGTTTATCTTGTTGTATATGTACTATCTATGAGCGGCCAAAAATGTACAGTCTAGACCAAGACTGTAACGGGTTTCCTATACCGTAGATCTGGAGCTTAGCTAGAGGACGACTATGGGCACATGATCGAATGCTTTATGGGTGTCGAGATTGTGGACGATTGCGTATAAGCCACGATAATACGAAAGCATAAGCTATTTTAAAAATTCGGAGAGACTATTGATGCAAGACTCCATGGTACGAATTGTTTAGTAAGTTTCGAGGTAGTAAGAATTCTGCCATTTTTGACTTTGTATGACACTACCTTATCTTTGAGCTCACTGACGTGTGACTAATCAGTCTATATAACGGGTTTCTTCTCGCCTCCTAGTCGGGCCGCCTGATTGTACTGTGTCTGTCTGTGAAGAAGGGCTGATTGTGACACGGGGCGACTGAAGTCCTAAAGTGGACGTCTTACTGATGCCGCCTTATCTTCATCACCATGGTTGGCTGTTTATGTGCATGTTCTTGACAAGGTCTAGGTGCCTTTATGCTGAATGTTCAATTTTCTACCGGTCCCCTCCTCCTCTCTTCATATTCCTCGTTTGTAAGTAGCGCATAGTCTTGCTGCGCCTCTATCGAAGTTGATAACGATAACGACTCTGGTCGCGATTTTAACACTAATGTTAATAACAATAATATTAGTACCACTACTGCAACTACACAAGCAGCTAGATTTCCTTCTTTCGGATAGCTGTATGGTGCACCTGACTGACTAATCTGTACACTGCTACTATAAATTTACCAGTTATGTCCTTAGTCTCACTGTGCTTCACCACAAGAGTGCGCAAGACGATCTCTGACTCCAGCAATGCGATGGGCAGATTTATGTGCGCGAATATCGGAAGTATTAAATCAGTAGACAGGCATAATGACATGACTTGATAACTTATAATCGTCTGTAGGCCAGCTATCCTTACTGGTTGCTCTGTGCCAATCGGCAGTACTGGGAGAGTATGGCATGCATCCGTAAGGGAGTTTAATTGACAGGACATCTAGCTATTCTACTCAGCACGCAACCAAGTTAACCGTCCCTTTCGTTTTCTTGTCCTTCAACGATTGAACATCAATGGAGGTTAGGAAGTCACAGGGTAGTGCCGTTAAGACAACGATTCAACTTCGAACCACGGTCCAGAGCGGTTTCGATCGTGCCGAAAATTGTGGTTTAACTTGATTGCGTTTTGCTAGTATATTTTCTTGACCTGTATCTGGCGTTCTCGGATTAATGTTATAACAGGGTTTCGGCGAACATATTTTCAGCTGCATTCCGTTGCCCTTTCTGCTTACGTCCTCGTTTTTATTTCTTCTGTCGAATCAGGCCATTTTAGTCGAGTTCACAAAGCCATTCGTTACCGTCCACCCCGTCCCTCTCCCTCTCAATCTGGTGTTTGTGGTTGCACATTCGGGTGTTCACGCACGAAAGGCTGCCACCTCGATGTACAACCAACGTGTGTCCGAATGCCGTATCGCATCCAAAGTTAGTGATCTTCAATTCGTGTGGTTCTCCTTTCCCTATTTCAATGCAATTACTGCCAGACTTGATGCAGCTGGTCGATTGAAATTATTTCGCTTTTTTTACGAATCAGAAAAATCTGCTAGCTGGAAAATTCGGGATTTGCTGATCTAATAATTATTCACATTGCGTTTCGGCAACAACACCGAAATATAGAAATCGCTTCAGTTGTTATCTACTTATTCTGTATAATCAGTGGCACGTCATTTGTTGTCCACCACTCCACACATGTTCGTCCTCATACATCAGCTCACGATCTGTGTGTGATGCATGTGGCAACCACTCGTTCCATTCTCGAATATTTCTACACCTCTTGCAACGGCATAAGATTGGGTGTAAAGTCTATAGAGATGGTTTACTAAACATGTGTTCACTACGAAGTCTACCAAAGACTATCGAGAAAATTCCCAGCAACGTTAGCTCGAACTCCTTTTGTTACGACAATGCATTCCGGTGCCTGAAGAAATTCATTTGGATTTTCACTAGAACTGCAGCATAATTCTACTTGTGAACTTCACAACAAAAGTCATGTACTGGCTGCCTTAGAGAACAAGATAGATCTACATCCTAGTTGCTTCCTGAGCACCTGTGCAATCCCGGAGAGTACAATACCAATTACAATTAGGTCAACAATCCATGACAAACCTGAAAGCTTGACCTATGAACGATCATGATCAATTTCTCACCGGGCAAATTGTAAAATGGTTAGTTACCGGGAGAACAGATAACTAGCGATAGTATCGGGAAATCATCACGCGGGCACGCACTCCTAGCCGTATGATGCAGAGCCCTTGTGGTGAATCAGCGTTCTCCATCAACTGTAGGAAACACGGATCTTAGGTAAAACAACCGAGAAAAGCAATTCTGGCACTACATTGCAGCTTTCTATCCGCGGACCATCCCCTGTTTGGTGAGATACGAGCAGGAGCTATATAGCAACGCAACCCTGCTAACCGCTAATTGCCACGCACCATGGCATGTTTTCTTAGCCAGCAACACGTCTTTGGTCTCCCGTCTCACGGGCACATTGAGCATGCGGAACCTGCGCAATACATCGCCGCATCTACGACTTCTACCTCACACTTTTTGATCAGACTACATTCAAGTAACTCATATTGAGCCAACTGCTTCCGTATGCAAAATCCCCGTGCCTTTACGAGCGCATGATTATACTTGTACAACTTAGAGTGTAGAAATTTGGAGCCGGGTTTCTCCTACGCCTGATAAATGCGCCTTCTATTTTTTCTCGTTTGAGTCTTTTGTCAGTCAACGTACTGCAATGTGTGTTTCGGGGGCCCCAGTGGTCACACTTTTGCATTCCTTAACGTAGAGAGCTATCCAGTTGAACTGTCTTGCCTATGCACTGGTAGGCAACATACAATGTTTCGAGTTATCTAGCTTCATCTCACCGCTTCTGGTGTGAATTATACTTCTTGTGTAAATACTCATACGTTATAGTCACTTTCACATGTAGCTGCAGTTGAAATTTTAGTCAAACTTTCGATTGGTTTTTGTGTGTAAACAATCGTTTATTTATTTCGTCGGGCCGTCAGCTTATTTATCACGCTTCGGGTAAGTGTGACGCGTTTGTCACACTCGCTCATATGTGAGTGTTACAACTAAATTGTATGATTTCACAATCTTTGATCGCATCTAATCATATCATGCTCCTCTCATTCTTGGGCTAGTCCTTATAATTTGCTCGCTGTCCCCTCTTACTTCGGCCTGTGACATCCTCATCAAACTGCTTCCATACTGTTATGTTGACTAACCAATCGCCACTTTTGATACCATTTCAGATATTGACTAAGAATTCACCTCGTCCAAATCTAGTTCATGATGCTCACCCGCTTTGTCTTCAAGATGCCCAACACGCTTGGGGTCTACCAAAACCTGGGCTTATGCTCACCAAAGGGAATTCCACGCTTCCCTCCGTTGTGGACCGCTTCTTGAAGCCAGGAGCACTTACGCGTGACGACATCGCAGCGATCCTGGATGACGATGAAATCGACGCGTGTCTCGTGCCTTCTACAGCCAACAGTAGGTTGTTCCTCTCCGCCCTTTCCATCAGGTGTCTCTCATCCCTTTCTTCACATTTTCGTGCAAACTGAGTTGGGCGCTTGCCGATCCGTTTTGCAAAATTTAAACTCGCCGCTTGCTGCGAACAAATTCACTGCACAATAACTTCGAGCCCCCTGAGTGTAACAACTACAAATCGAATTATTGATTTTAGGCGCTTTCCTGCTGACTCCGAAGCATCCAACTCTCCGGGATTTCAATTATCGAAATTGCTCGTCAAAACACACGAGTTCATTCACCCGGATCGGCACATCATAGAGCCAGTTACCGACCGATCGTTATTGTTCCACGCCCTTTGGTCAGACCAGCGCCGCGTCATCATCTCGCACTATTGTGTCTCACTAATAACGTACTTTCCCCTTGAAGCTCGCTGAATTCGAAACCACGACCATCCTCATCTTAGGCAGCTACTTGCGCCACGGAGCTGTGTGCAACGGTGATTACCATATTGAATGTTCTAGTCTGTATGTTTCGGTGTATTGCATTATGCACTGTCCTGTATTGTGCTGTGTCGTAGGCCTCCTCGGCCGGTTACCGAAGAGTGGATGTCTGCTTTGCACCCCAAAAGTCACCGGTTCGAATCCGCGTAGGTGAAGGTCACCTCGCGGTATCTCTAACCCGCGTGCGACTGTTCGTGGTCCCTTGACAAGGATTTGGCGCACCGGCGCACTGCTAATGCCTTTTTGCCGTGCACCTTTTGTTATTCAAATGTGAGGACAGTGGATCCTTCTTGCACCTTGACCAGCCACACGCTTATTTGGGATGTGGACTATGGCATCGGCCCAGCATACTAGCCGACAGTGGTGTCTTGTTGTTGCTTTACTCGGGTTCACTGTCCCATCACAATGTTTCGTATTATGGTGGCAATGGATGGGAAGTTAGGCGTGCCTGCATCGAACTCGGCCGCTGACGTCCTTTACTCGCTACGTGATATCTTAACCACCACTGGTTTATGCATCATGAAACGCTTCGCTGCATAACGCGTAAACTGTGAAGTACTGCTCCATGACTCGTCCAATGCTGCACCGGTTCCCCAGTTACCCAATAACCACTGTAAGTGGTCGATAGATTAGCGTATCAAGGCAATTGTGTACCATCTGCTGACCAGATCGCGCAGGGCGCGTTACGGTACGCATCGTTGGTGCTCGTATATCTTTTTGAAGTCACAACTGTGTTTCGAATCTACGGGATACGGACTTATCAGTCAAGAACGGAGGTGCAACGCCGCATTTCGGCCAATGTGAATGTAAGGGTCAGCTGTTATGTGGTCATTGCGCGCTAGTTATAACATTTCGACCATGCTTGATAGCCGAAGCAAGCGGGGCTGCTGGTGTGGGGCACTGGCGGGGGTGCTGCCTTCTATGTTACCAATTGGAAACAAACCCTTTGATGCACCTTTTATGCTCTATTTACTGTCGTTAGTTTGTTCGTGCTGCTAGCGTTCTTGATTCGGCGTATGTTGTTTTCGGTTACTTTGTCCAGGTGGCTAATCGACGATGGGACACAAACAAATCGGTCGATGGATGGTGCATCCAGTAGTCTCCCTGTATAGGGGCTTCAGTACTTTAATGCTATCCAACCTGACACATTTGCTAAGTCAGTGATGCTTCATCTCTCACTACTTACTGTCAATCTTTCCGCTAGCTAATCATCCTTTTTGCTCTGATTTCAGTCGCCCCACATCTGCAAGCTTGTTCGCATCTCTCTGCCTCTTTGTTACTCTTGTTGATAACGCTAGTGACGGTTACCGAATTTACCGCGCTTCCATCCTTGTATTCTAGTTAACTGTTCGAAACAGATCGTTTAACCGAGCACTTTCAAGAACAGTCCAGCTGGCCCCCATACTCATATATATAAATATGTTTATTTATGTATTCATTTTGTTGCGCCTCTTCTTCGGTGTTTGTTTTAGCGCATGTTTTTGCTTCTCTCTTTAACATCTGCTGGTCGTTGTTTCAAATATCGAATCGCGCTCTTCTCCTGGCCTTAATGCCGTCGGCTTGGTCTCTTTTTATAGGCTTTGTCCAGTTTGCAGTTATCAGCGCTCTTATTCATTCCGACAGCTATGCGCCTGGCCACCTTTTTGTTACATAACCAGTGTTATCTGTCAATACAAAGATTGGCGTTCTTGCTCTTCTTGTCGATCTCACTACCGGAGTGGGTTGAGACAATCTCTGGGATGGTCTAACCCTATCCCCACTTCCGGTGCCATGCACAGCGAAATCGGCCTCATATGAAGGCATCAGTTTTGTGGTATCACTTTTTCCCCGTCAATTCCAGTAAGTTTTTCACATCGGGTCTTTCGATCCTCTGTAGCCACTAGTCTCAACCACAGGCTCATGTGAGTAGGCTCGCGGGTTCTAGCCCCACCTGGGATAGACAGAACAAACACTACGAGCAAACGCCCAGGCAGGCTGACTGAGTCTGGTTGGGTCAAGTTCTGTCCATCTACACCATTTGATATCCCATATCACTCATATCATTTCAGTCGGATACATTTCACTTAAACACACCTTTAAATATTTGCACACTGTCAAACACGGTATTTTTTCTCTCTCTTTGCTTCGTCAGTGGAGAAGTTTCACTTACTGGCACGCGCCGTGCACGTCTACTCCGAGGCTGAACGAACAATGCAGTTCTACCAACTGTGTCGGTCGTTCTCCATTGCAGGAGACACTTTGGACACTCCTGAGCTTCCTCGTCAACTTGGCGATTTGATGAATGAGAGTCATCAGTCATGTGATTCCATGTACGACTGCTCTTGCCCGGCGCTCAACGAGTTGACCTCTGTTTGCAGGTACACCAAGCGTTTTCACCCTTGCAACTACCCCCTGTGCCCGTCTGTCACAAACGCTAACTTGCTTGCAAGTTGGTCTTCATGGTAGGGCTCCGTTACTTCCCAACAGATTGCTGTGTTGTTCGACGTTAATGTCATTTTGCATCATGCATGAACCACCACCAGCATTGCAGAGGAGTCTCTGTCCAACTCAGCCTCACTCACAGGCTAGCAGGTGAACATAGACGGCGCGTTTTTTTTCTCCCACTGCAAACCACACGTACATTTCGTGTGGTGTCGGAATGGTAGAACAAACCCCTCAGTACGTTTTCTTTACCACATGCCACTGGCCCAACCGAAATTGTTTGTCAACCCTTCAGGATCTCCCCTTTTTCTCATCCTAAGTTGGCTTATAGTGGACTGGTTTCCTTAAGGTGTACCAAACTATCCTGACATCCACTAACCCACTTTCTTCGCGGTAATTTTTCGATAGTAAGCTAACACATTTCGCCATTCATGTGCGTAACACATTCACTCGGGGGATTTCTCCAAAAGTCTTCGAGCAACTTTTTTGCTGTTTCTGTTCTAATTCTAAGGCGTACATGTTCGTAAGATGTCGGATATTTACGTCAGTTCTGCCCATTCACTTTTATATTTGTAGTTGCGTGTTTATCACGTCAGCACCGTAACACCCTGGCTTTCCTCGTATTACAGTTTGCACTTTTCCCTTTATCATTATTACACTTATTATTATTAGTCACTCGCATCCGACAACCCTCTGGTCAACAGCCTGTTCGATCGTTGGAGCGGCCATTCTATTGACTTTGTCGAGTAGTTTGGTTATTGTTTAGCGGGCACCGACATTTTGCTGGCTTGGTATATCTTTTTTTCGTTGCACTTTTGGTTTATTTGGCTATCTGAACATGTGTAGTCATACCATGCGGATGATACCAGGTTGCCTCTTCGATCACCGAACTTTACTTGTTGGTGTCAGTGGGACGCAGATTTCGCGACATTGCTGGCTTACAGGGCGGAGCATGTTGACGAACGCGTGCCTGCCTCAACATAATCTCTATACACCTTTGCGCACCTCCTTCGTGTTTACATCGAAGACTGCGTATGCGGGTGGCGCTGCGCAAGCCGCTACTTTACCTACGCAAGTGTCCTGTGGCTTTGTTATGATCAGTAAGTCGCGCCGTGTCGCTCTGCTGGGCTATTTTGAACTCAGCTGCTCCTCTCGACTGATCACCAAGGCGAAGCTTCGGTCACCAGTTTGATGACCGCGAATTACAAGACTATCACGCGGCGGAGACTAGCGTTACTTGTAAGTTCTTGATGACTTTGCACCTCTTTTCTTTTATATTCCTTACTTACCAGTGATTGTATTAGATCACCTGAGAACATTCTTCTGATCGACCAATGCGATCATTCCACTGAATTTCTGGGAAAACATTGGATTTCGGTTGATATAGGTTTCACTGATCTATTCCTTAGGGGGTACTCTCCTAACAGGCTTCTTTCATCGATGCGGACAACGTTACATCTTGGTTTCCTTTCCTCTCCCAGTTCTCACGCGCAGCGGGGACTCGTTCCACTTCCCGGGTCCTACGAGGCAGGCACTGCAAACACACACCGAAATAATAATAGTAATATTACTCATATGTCTCTCCGGTTTGCTAGACGGTTCCTAAAAAAAGGGACAGTTCGTAAGTATAGTTATAATCCTTCTCTTGCTTGAGTGAGATAAGTATTCCACAGTGTCTGAGATCAGCGCATTCTGGAATGCACGGTTTTTTGTTGGTTCTGGACTTTGTGTGGAAATTTCTTCTTACTTACCAAATATTTTGGTTCACTCTGGAAGGACTCGTTTGTCAATGTTTCAGATGCACTGTGAGGCTCTGTTAAAGGAAACTTCTAACTTTGCTGCAATATGTTCTTCTATTTGGTATCCGGCCTTCTTTGAAAGTCGAACTTGACAAAATATCGGATTACTAGATTATATTTGGAAAGTTTTACAAAGGTGCGTTCATTATTTCGCTTAATTGGCTCTTTGGGGATCGCACATCCGTAAAATATGACGCTTGACTTATTAGCTGAGAACTTCATCACGCATATGTCGTACCGTTTCTCAAATAAATCGGTCTTGAATAAACAACATTGCGCTCTGAAGTTCGTCTTGTCGCACTTTATAAACAATCTTAGTATTATCAGCAAACAAAGATGGCCTGCCAGGTTTAATGGTGATGCTGATATGGGTAATATAGAGTAGGAAGAGGGACGGATCAAGTCCATTTTTGCGTGGCACCACAAGTATTTGACATCCTGAGAATTGTTTTGTACCCATCGCGAACTTATGATTTCCGAAGGGTTTGAAAGCAACCCCCACAAGCTTTAACGACAACACGGGTAATTAGACTTGGGGGAGAATAATTGGAACGTCCATTTAGGCAAGTTAACCCTGTTCAATGTTTAGCCTCTGACGCCACTTCGCTTGCCTAGGCAACTGCAACAGCAACGATGGGCGCATAAGCACTGAAGTCAGTTCACGTGTTGCAATGACTAAAACTGTCTTCTTGAAATTCCGACATCTATCGTGTCAGAAAGGTGCTTCCCCCGGTCTAAAAAGCGGTGTTTACAAGACCACAGTGAGAGCTATCCCGCACCTTCTTAGTGAAGCTTGATTCCTTCGATCTAAGCACCTGTGGCGCCTTCAAGTCTTTGATCATTGTTGTCTACGAAACGTTGCTGGTATCGGGTGGCACCAGGATGTACACAACGATGATGAGCGTAGGAGAGTATTAGACAGTGCTAATCAAGCTAGTTCCTTAAAACAACTGATAACGCTGAGTAAATTGCGTTGGCTTGAGCACGTGCTGCATATGTCCGATCATCGCTTACCGAGGAGAACTTTGTTTCTTTTGCCAGATGAAGGGTGGCGTATAACTCAAGATGGATAAAAGTTGACTTTACCGAAAATTGCTTTTACAAGTTCTACAGACCTCGGTTATCCAACCTTCCCTAGTATTCTTGCTAAAGGATTATTTCGCCAAACGTACTCAGGTCACCAGGTTTGACGGCAAAAGCTCCTCACCACTTACCACAACATCCGGTGTCCTTCAAGGAGCTATTTTGTCGCCATTCTTGTTCTCTACTTACGTTGGCTCTATACCTGTCCTAGAACAAACCATTCTGTTAAAACATGCTGGTGATATTATCATTGGCGTGAATCATCAAACCACAGCCTCCTTAGCCAACCTAAAAAATGGTTTAGACGAATTAGTACAATGGTCAAACTCTCGCTGCTTGACACTGAACGCGTCCAAGTGTGATGACATTCTGTTTTCAATTCATGAAGCTGCACGTAACTAAGAACTTGTCCCAAACTCCAAGTTGAAAGTGCCAGTTTGGGCCTATACATGTCAGTGAAATATCGTTGGGTTACAATGAGCCACGGTTTGTCAGGGTTACTCCACGTGAATTAATTATTGATCAAAGTCAAGCGACTTTGGTTTTACATCGCTCGATTGCGATCATCCTGTGTATCATGCAATTTGATTCGGAACTCTATCACTGTGTGCATTCTACTACGCTGAACGTATTGCTCTCTCTTGTGAGTTCTCCAGACCTACTGTGTAAGCATTTCAACTTACTTGACAACTCACTGAAGCACTTGTCCAGCTGCAGGGGTATTTAAGAGCTAACATTAGCACAAACCGTTCTTCATGACCGTCAGAGCAACGCATCAGTCAGTTTGGCTTCTCACGTCGTTGACCAGTTCACCCGCGGTTGCGGTGACATTTACACAGGCAAGACTGACCGTCAGTTAGCTCAGAGGGTAGCTGAACATGTGCCGAGGTGGGTGGAACAACCGATGATGCAACAAAACGGAGTGGATCCGAGGATGAACAGGAGTCCCGCATCATCTATCACCAAACATCTCTTGGCAACCCGACATCAGGTGAACCCGGAGACTGCGTTCAAGGTGTTATTACGCAACAACAATCCGATTATCTTGGCAATTTGTGAGGCTTTGCTAATTAGGGCTTATCAACCTGTGTTGTGCGCACAGAAACTATTGAGACAATCAATTAGGTTACCGTGGTCTTGATTTTGACATTTTGATTAGTGTGCCAACTTTTCCCCCTTTATATAACTGTCCATGAATCCCGCTTGTATTGTGTTTGCGACTGATGAGAACAATCGAAATGTTAACATATCGCAACTTATGTCTTCTCACTGCTCTGACGAAAAACCGTTATACCGACGCACGCAAATTCATCCGCAAAACTTGCTTCAAAAATACTCACTGACATTCTCCACCCTCTTCACATTGCACTTTCCAATTGCATTTCTACCTCATCGGCCAGACAAAAGTACAATATACGCCCTCACGAAAGCATATGGTTCGTCGGTTATTCCCTGCTAAGGCAGATTTCTTTTTGACCGAAACTCTATTATTCAGGAACTGTCCAGTAAATTCTGCCAGTAAAGTTGTTTTTTATTGAGCCTTTTCGCTGTTTGTTCTCTCTTTTGAACTTCATTTTTGTCATGTCGATAGCAGGTGTGTCAAAGATGAAAATTCTCCCGTCACGGGTGCATAAAAACGCATTCTTGACTTGACCTGAACTCGTGCGACTGTGTGCCAAAGCCTATGTGACCGGCCATAGTCATTGATCACACACTTTTTCAATCAGGAATGAGTATTTAACGGAGGGCGGACGATGAACCTTGCTATCTGTCAGCTTCCAACAATAAAGACGCATACGGTCCACGTAGTTGTCTTCCTGCCTGATTGTGAGCTCGGTGGTCCAAAGCACTCCTAACTTTCTCATCATTGCACTCGAGCTCGTCTAGTGCCCCGAGTAGTTAGCTATTACATTTTAATTCAAGTGGAAACACCATATTCACTCCTGTGAACCAGTGATTTATAGATTTTCTGCTCACTGTCTTTGCTCTTATGTACCTCTATCCTGGGCCAATACGCTGGCGGCTAAGCCTGATAATTTGCGCTCTACCGCACCTTTGTTCATTCTTCTATTCTTGGTAATTTCCCTCTGTTTTCGAGCCTTGTCGTGTTTGGCGCCTGTCTCCACGTCACGGATCAGGAGTTTTGGTCCGAGGATGTACCACCCAGTTGTTATTAAATCCATTCTAGCCGTGTGACCTTTCAGAAGCTCCTTTCTCTATGGTGACGGCTGAATATCTACCCGTTGGCGAAATGTAGCGTGTACAGTGGTCCGACAAGGCCGATTTTGCTGTACAGATCAGAGACCTGGCGACTTCTCGCTGGGGGTACTCTGATTGAATGTTGCTCAACTCTGGTGGGACACCGACGGAATCTTGCTGAGATATACCGGTTGGTGTTTGGCAAGAAAGCCTCTGGCGTTTTAGTGGAATGTTTGTTAAATTCGATGCGGTCACGTCCGCCGTAACCCGTTGATTACATTCCCCATTGCGCGTTATGCTTTGTCGCTGCACCTAGGTATTCGAAACCACAACGTGCTTAATGGATGGCGTGCGGAATTGACCGAAACAGTCCATCAGGTTTGTGCGTGTTTCTTTCGTGAATGTAAGTCTCGGGATAAAACACATCAATGTCTGGAAGCCTCATTGGACATGGCGTTACCTCGAAGTCAGTGGGGCATTCACTTTCTTGCATCTGGCTGTTATTACTCCACTCCGATTAATACTACTCAGTCCCTCCTTAATTCTATTCTCCTTGTATCCCGTCTGCGATGTACACTATTTTCTCACCATTGTTTATTGTTGTCCTGGAGACTCGCATCGGGGCAGCTGGATCCAATGCACTTTCATTTCCGAATTATGATTGTTTAGCTGAACTACACTGCACTTTCTGTTACTGAGTTCCATTCGTTTATTTCACTCTCTCGTCTCAAAGGTCGGGAGGTGCCCTTGGAAGTCGCCTAACTGGAGCCGGCTGGGGAGGAAGCACTGTTTCGCTCATTCCGAAAGATAAGGTTGCCGACTTTATTGAGCATCTAAGGAGAGGATATTACGAAAAACGTGATTTAGAATGCGACAGTCTGGTTTTTGTCAGCAGACCCGGTCCCCCAGCAGGAATCATGCGCATTTCATAGCGCTTTAACCCACTTATCTACATTCCTCTCTGTGATTTCACCCCGTTGCATTGTTCTGTTATTTTCTACTTTCTGTTTCCGCGGATTTTAGCTCATTTATTCTCTTCAGGCCACGGTGTTTGTTTACTTATTCTGAGGAGTCTGGGGCTTCTTTGCTTCTGATTAGCTTTCGCTTTGCTTATGTTTTGCTAATATTGCTCAAAAACAACCAATAACTGATGGCCAATTTGCTATATATGTTGTCGACTTCATGACATTTTTCATATATGCTTGTGATGAATAACACCTAATTGATCGTCGCATCGCACCCGAATAACCTATGACCCAGCCGTCATATGCTGCGAGCGCGCCGAAATCCGTGACGTGATTCCACGCACTACCCGATCTAGCTACGATGGGCAACACAGATATATGTGTCTACTAGCTGTATTTTCAGTACTTACCTCCTAGATCGCTTGTGAGCCTGAATTGGAACTGCTCATATTCAAGATATATGGGTTGGTACTTTGGAAGCTATCAGGCTAAATGATTCTAGTCCACACCGTCATTGCTTCACGCAGGACCGTGTTGAGCCAAGTTCCGTTCATTGAAGTTTCTATCAGCTTGAAGTTCCACACACCGGAGCATTCACTGGGCGTTATAGCAATACATGTCGTGCGACTTCTCTTTCATGGGGAAAGGAAGACTCATTTTGCGCATCATTCGCTCGGGATATTTGTTCTTCTCGTTCGATTAATTTTCACCGCTTGTTTTTACTAAAATTCGGCACTGTTATCGCTATAAATGTGATGCATGCAATCGGTTTACCAATCATTCTACTAATCTGATACGCTTGTTACCCTTGCAGAATCTGCGGCGAAATTATTTATCCCTTAGGCCAAAACTGATCGTTATGTTCTCCGGCTGTTGGAGTGCCCACTGATTTATTGTGTGCTTTGGTTAATCGCATACCTCATTCATTCCGATCACTTGTGCAAAGTCAGAGACTACGCCGGTCAAGCTAGAAATCGACTAATCTTTAGGAATTTCCAACATCATCCTTTGTTTTCCTTCGTGAGCTGGAAATGTCCATTCACCTTACCGCATATGTTGTCTAACCGCTCTCTCTATCGCCACGAGCTCTTCGCTTCGTTCCTCCACGCACTTACTTGACTGATCTCAGGTAAGCTGAGTTTCACTCGAAGCATGTTCCAGTGTAGTGGCTAACCAGAAAGAATCATCCAGAAGCACGTGGGGCCATAATTTCCATTAGAGAAGCCTATTTGTGCAGCAAAGCGTTAGATATACCTAACCTTGCTGACGAGTAGTGGGGATTTTAGTGTAATTTCAGATGTAGTTCCTCGCAGTCCTCTCTCAGGCAGGTTCCCATACTTATGAGAAAGCACCAGACAACTGTTTCGGTCTTCTGGGTCTTGTCATTAGTGTGCGTTCCTCGAACCCCTACAGGGGTCCGACCTCATGACTTCTGGATGCCAGCAGCTTGTGCCACTAAGCCATGGGTGTCGGCCGCGGATCAGCATGACTGACAGTTGAGTACGATATAGCGCGGCTCATCCTCAACTTCCATTCCAGTTACGAATTGTGCAGAGGACAGTGCTTGGCTCCAGAGCTACGATTTTCTGCATGATTGACGGTCGGACGGTTCCTAGCTACAATACATGCTCGAGTTCGGTGCGAATAATTTAAATCTTATCCGGGGTTTGTTTGTTGTCCTTTGCGAGGATTGCCAGGCCTTTCGTAGTTATATGCTTCGATGTAGCGCCGCTTGGCGTCGAGAAGAGCGAAGCGGGTCCAATGACCTCTGGGAAACTTCCAGCAACGGTTTGCCGACCGGTGAGTTAGCAGTTACGTACACCGAGCTGAATGACGCGACGTCACTGGATATTCCAGCGACGGAATGTTTCGCAGATTGGTCGATGCGCCGTTGGCGTTTAACATGGATGGGCAGATCGCAATTTCGGAGAAAATCTATCCCAATTATGGGAGTTTAAACTGCAACGACAAGAATGATTCCTTTAAACGATAATCTTAAGCCGAAGTTGAGCGGGCGGAAACGTTTGCCGTAGACGGGGATGATCGCTTCGTTGGCCACGCCCAGTGACATACTTGTTTTTCGGAGTACGCTGACTTCCACGCGAGTATGGACGAGATGACGAAGTCCCGACGACGAAGAAAAGACGACTATAGCGACCAGCTACGTCCGTCGCAGTTACTTGCTGACCTGCACATGGCGAGCGAATGTGCTGGGTGGGCGGCAGGTTATGGCGTTGTTATCAAATCGTTAATGATACCAATAATAAGTAATGGTTGGCTTGGGCGAAGACCTCAACGGAGATTTGAAACAAGCGGTACTCGTACGATTTTCAGAAGGAAGCCCGATGCGCTGTTTTGCTTCCAGTCTATCGAAACGTTTGGACAGCTGAGGTGGCTGACGCAAGGTTCGTGACGCTGGCATTTGAAGTAGATTGGATATGCGACGTTCGGCTGCGAACCCCTAGATCCTGTCAGCCATGTCGACAAATTGGTAGAGTGGAGCTCCAGCGTTGGCTTAGAGTATGTTGCACATCACTCGAGGAGGACGACGCAGCCACATTTTCTGAGGAAGAAAACCGTCAACTGTAGCAAGCTTCGCCAAACTTTGCATCTTCCTGAAGTCCGGAGATGACTTTATGTCGCCCATCTCTGTTTCGTGTGATGCTCGCTGTCTGGAATGCCAGTTCTTTTTAACACGGTAACCTTGATCTCTTCGTACGACTTCCGAGATTAGGGAAGCTCTAGTAGTTCATGGAGATCATTGACGGCTTGCGGTGGAGCTGATGCGATTAGGTGGTTAACTTTCACCTCCGATCGGACACCACGCAACGAAGACATGGACTCGCGTTGGATGACCCAACGTTTCGGGTTACCTTCGCAACAAGTAGGAATGGGAACGGCGACACTACAGATTACTGCTTTTACCTCGGCTTAGCGCGCGTGCATGGGGAAAAACGTATGTAAGGCGTGTAAAAATAGAAGTGACAAAAATAGCTGAAGCCGATGAAACGGTCAGATATGCAAAAGGTTGGAGATAGGGCTTACTAACTATATACGTTACCGGGTAAGCGGATAATCTGACGGACGAATGGCCTACCATATATAAGCAAGAACACCAAAAGAAGTTACGAAAACATTTATTTAATAGAGTTCTACACAGGCTACAGCTAAAAATGTGGCACCAAAACAAATTAGCGAGCGGTTTTATAGTCTTACAATGATTGCGAGAAGCCAAGCGGTTTGTGCTAAAAATGCGCTATTGTACGTTGACTCAACCAGACGTGAGCAACATTTAGACAAGTGAGGCAGTTAATTCCAAAGGTACGTGATAGAAATCTACTTTAGTACTATTTGACATGTTTTACCTGATGGGCGGCGGTCAGACGGGGGAATCTCCAGGTCGCTACACATCATGCAGATGGTCCCGCGCTATGTGCACAAGTGGCGGCCAATGCGCTTCGGCAACACTTCATCCGTATTTTCCAGGGTGAATCGTCATTTCATCCACCTTTGACACAGCTCACTCCGCCACCAGGGTTAAGCCCAATATGCTGTACCGTAGCGAATTTGATGCAAGAACAACTGTTTTGCGCGTACGCAGCTCTCCTGGCATGGACGATATTAGAACAGCCATTAAAGACAGCCACCATGAACCCAACCGAACCGTTGTCTCGGTCCTTTCGACGATGCCTCTCGGTACTATCCAACGTACTGAACTGGTATTACCACGGAGGCGATTATAGGATGCCTTGAGAGCGACAACATCATAGTGTCACGGCAATCAGAGTAAGCTGAACGGAGTCAGTTGAGGCCAGAGTGGAAGTCGACCTCGTCCGCCTGAACCACCGCGTTCTCATTCACAAGTTTCCCAGCTATGGAATCCGTGACACTGCAGGGTTGATAGGCAACTTCCTCATTCAACGTCAGATGTATGTGTAAGTCCGCAGCTCTATCTCCTATCCTGTTGAGGTCCATTGTGTTGTGTGTCAATGACCTGTACTGGGTCCATGTTTGCTGTTAGCCCTCATCACCGATCTTACCAGTTTGTTCCAGTTGGTCTTTTTACTATTTGCAGTTTATGACAAGATCTGGTAGGAGGTCAAGATAGAGGAAGGTCACGCAACACTGTAAAGAGATCTTAACAGGGCCTATCCGTGATCACCAGAAAACCGGCTTCAGTACGAGGTAGCGAACTGCAAAGTTGTGAACACATGCCATCAGCGTACCTACAAAAATCGACTTGGAGGCCAGCAGTTGTAACGTACTTTCCAGGAAATTGATCTCGGTATGATCGTACAGCATGATCTTAGCAGCTCGAAACAGGCTGAAGAGTCAGTCGGCACCTTAGACTCTTAGAACGCCGTTCGGGAAGTTCGAGTTATCTGCCTTTACGCAAAGGCTGAACGACTACGTGGGGCGCCATGTGGGACACGCCATCCAAGCATGGCGTTTGGGGCGCAAACATGATATACGCTTTTGGAGAGGACGCAACGTGGTGCAGACGAATTTTGTATCATGGAACGCACATCTGAATATTGTAGTAGTTCGAACGTAGAAACGGGTCCATTTGCGCATTTCTTTCCTGGAACCTTTATTTCACCGTTACGCTGCGCCCCATTCATTCACAATATATTGGTAGAGGTTGGTTTGTGCTCAACGCGCCCTTCATCTGCGGCGATCCATATTTTCCCTGATTATCTCGCACCTCCCCATCTCCACACATACTATTCATTAGTAGTGCGCCACACTCCTCCTCCAAAGTTTCCGCGGCAACTGACCTCCCACGCACTCCCTCCTACCTTTGAGTTTGCTACAGGCGTGCCATAATTTCTTCTCGTCGTTCACTAGCGTGAACCGTCTGCCGATCGATGATATCTACGGGCCATTGTCATACAAGTCCTTCCACTTCGGATGGAGTTTTTCCTTGGTCACCTGCGGTCGCACGTTGGTGATCTTTACTTCACCTT